ACAAAGGGGAAAATAGTAGTTCCAAAACAATTGGACAGATTAATGAAAGTAACATTTATAGACCTATTGACCAGCTGACTTTTATCTGCAAACTCAGAATTCAGCTCACATATTTTAAAATCATTATTCATGTATTTGTTTTTATTATCCACTGTTGAAGTAAACCAATGTCCTGGCATATTGCTTTCTGGTAAAGCAAGATAAGCGAACACGTAGACTTCACAGTAGACACTATAAGTACCTGCCTGGCCCCCTTTCACAGTGCTCCCCTAATGCCCCAGTTTGCTGCTGATGACCCCAAAAAATCCTATACAAATACAGACTTTTTGAAAGTTGACATATGTATACGGCTAGTTAGTGATCCCCCACCTTCTTCCATATAAGTGTTCATGACTGGCAATAGGTTACTCGCTGAGCACTGAAATGTGGTAAGGGAAATATATTTTGTACCACATTATGATGATAATGAGGTTTGATGAACTCCAAATAGTGAAAAGTGGAAAGGCGGGGGAGGTGGTGTGCTATCAATGCTATCTTCATTTTTCCCAAAATGTAAATGTTGTCAACAAGATAGTCAGAATAAAATCCCTTAGGCGTGCTTAGCATTCATGGAAGTCGACACCTTTGACTAAAAGCAGACAAAGTAGAAGGAATGCAGAGATATCATACACCTTAGTTAGCCAGGGTCCTAAAAGGAAAATAAATGGCCAAGTTGTAAATGGTCTGGTGTGTAGTTTTAGGAAAATACATCTGTGTGGCTGGTGTGTTGACCTATACTGCCCGAAAGTGGAATGCCACAGAGATTATTTTAATAATTCCTGCTGTAATGTAGTTACCTTCCTAAAAAGTTATTACAGTTATCTAGAGAAAAATATCACTTGGACACTGCACTGGCCAATCCACTAACCGGATCCATACCAGCCCCCCCAACAAAAATAAAAATAAAAAATAACATTGAAAAAAATAGTGTGTGTGTATGTTCTACAAATAAACAATATTAAAAATCATTGCCCTTAATGCTCTAACTAAGAATAAGAAGAAGCTACCAGTTAGGTCTGATACATTCCTGCCTGGGTTTGGCAGTGAGTGATACAGTCTTAATAATCGGCTAACTAATCGATTTTGAAAATAATCGTTAGCTGCAGCTCTAGATATTTTTTAAAGGTCACTATCCAAACATCAAATCCTGTAAATGGTGCATATTTATGTATGTGGTGGCTACTGTGTGCGCGCAGAGTTAACTGCTGAGTTTACCTTGTCCAGGTCTCTCTGTCTGCTGGGACTAAGGCTGGCCATACACCACTCTATTTTTTTCATTCAACTCGCAGGCTGAAAAAAATAATAATACAGGTTCTTCCAGCAACACTACAAATGTGTCGATTGAGGAATCCCACTGCTTGCATTGTATTCTGCCAGGGCCGCTGTCAGAATACCCAACCAGAGCCAGCAGCTCATTGGCTGCCGGCTCTGGTTGTACAAAGATTTTCCAGCCGGCTCCTTCGATCAGCTGATTTAGGGATGCTGGCCTAAAGGGTCCCGACAGCGGCACGCGCTGTGCGAATTTTGTCCGGTTCATTAAGAACCGGACAAAATCCGCACAGTGCATGGGCAACCTTAAATTGTTCCCAAAGCCGGGAAATCACTGCTCAAGATGAGGCTGAGATTATGTATGTTACAAGCATAACTTGAGGTAAAGGTTTTTTTTTCCTGGACTGCAGTAGCTGATTGGAGCATAGGGCACTTTGAAGGTAAGAGCTATATTTCAAACAGTACAAAGTACAGGGATGCTCAATCTGAAGGTAAAAAGAAACAAACTCTAGTGTTCCCTGCCCTGTCAGATTCCATTGTTTCTAAATGTTTAAGGAGTTTTGAAATTTACGTTTGAACACATTTTATATACATCCATGCACACTTACCCTAAAGCTACCCTGCAAGGCCAAGACACTCCATGAACAGGAAGGTCCGCTCAGCTAAATGTTCCTGTTGAATTTAGTTGAGAAGAAAGGTAGGAGATGAGCACCATTATCTGTAGCAGTAATAACTGGAACAGATTAGAAAATGATTTCCTTAGGTGGTGGCCAGCTGCTGGATTTGATGGCCTCCCATACACACTAGACCAGCCACATATTTTGTCTATAAATAACTCCAAAACAGAGATAGAGTTTAAGAAGGAAAATTGTATCTCCCTACAAATCTGTGATGCCCCATTAAATAAACACCCCTCAGATAGTTTTCAGGAAAGAAATTAAAACTTCAGCATTGGAGCGAGGTCTCTTAACTGTTAGAGATGTGGAAATGTGAAACAGTCTTTCCCAAAAATGGAACACTTTAGACACCTTTAAAAAAGGACGTGTCAGGTCTCCATTTTGGGATTTTAAATGCATGAATCCAGTGTGTTTCTTAAGAAAGTGAAGATCTATGGAAACTGCTTGAAGCACAACAATTTAGTTTCTTTGACTTATACTTAACTTCATACAGTGGGCTGCTCAGAAGAGCCTGAAGCCACGGTTTTCCAGATGGCAGTCTTATGGTTTCATAGTATTTGAGGTTGAATAAAGACATTAGTCCATCAAGTCCAACCTATTAGGATCTCATTCTAGGAGTACCTGTACCCCTGTATATTACCTGTACCCCTGTATATTACTGTTGTTCTCGCAGTATAGTAAAAGTTTTGCCTAGATAGGACAAACCAAGGACATTAAAGAATGTACACCACAAATTCAATACTGCATGTGTCCAATGGCAAATAATTCCACATGTCATAGCTTGAGGAAGGGGATCCTGTGTGACCCCGAAACGGTCGTCGCAATTTTGTGATATGTCGTTTTTCTTCAATAAATAAAGACTTCTTGCTTTACACTTATACTGGAGTGCCGGTGTCCCTGCTTTCTACAATGGCAAATAGAGATACATTTCCATGAGGATGTGAGGGTAAAAGAATTCATATACTGTCAGTAGAAGCTTGCATGTGGTGAAACTCCAGCATCTGCAATAACCCAGCCTACACTGGGGTAACCAGGAGGCATCTGGCTGGGGAGGAGAAAGGTCAGTGCGCACTAAAAGATTAGAAAGGGAAGAGAAGAATACAGGAAGTAAAATGGCATTTTTTTTCTCCCTTGATTTTATTCAGAAATGCAGATTTTAGTTTGTCACAGGTCGGCTAGAACTGTGAGGTGAGTGAAAAGCACTCATAGTTTTCCTTTAATAATAAAAACGGATAAGCCATAGATTCGTTCGTAAGAGATAATTAATGTTTGTGTAGTTGTGTTCAAAAATTGTAATTGCATAATTGCATTGTAACTTCATCAGGCATAATATGCCCGAAACATTGCTGCTTGTTTGACAATAATGTTTACATAACAATAAAGGCATTTTGGACTAAGATGCTTGGTGTGCTGGTTACATACTCTATGTCTTGGATTACAGCGGTTCCATCCTCAGTCATTTCAGCACCCAATCTCACAAGGGGCTTACCAGTCAGGAGTTCAGCAGGACACTCCTAACATTTATAACAACTGAGAAGCACAGGATGATGCTTCTATAATTAGCAATATGCTGGCCACGCATGTGTCATCACTGCCAAATTGCCCCCTCAGTCCTCACACATGCACGGTAGTGGGAGAAGTGAAGAAAGCAATATGGTGGGAATATACTACACATGCACAGTAGCATACAATCTCTGAACTTGCTACCATGCTTGTGCTGAATACTATTGCCGTATTGTGATGCAAGAAATTTGGTGCAAAGATCCTTTGCATGTACGGTAGTGACCAGTCTGTACTGCCGCTATCATGCATGCACAGGATCTTGTCACCATATTTCTGACATCACAATATGGTGGCGGTATACTGCCCACACACAGTCGTGTACTATGTCATGTCTACTACCACCAGTTTGTGATGGCGGTTGTAGACTTAAATATGTCAGCAAGATTCTGTGCATGCTCAGTAGTGACCGGTTGGTGCCCCCACTTGTGCTGCAGGCCTGGAAGTCAGGGCCAAGAGTTGGAAATATAGCAGCTATGTTCTACCTGCACCATCTCTCACCACTGTGCCAGCCTCCCCCAATTTCTTCCACCATGGCGTCTGATCCCTATTTCTTACCCCTAGGCTCTAAAACCCTCTTTCTCCATAAATACTCTGTATCTCTTTGTTGTTACATTCCCCATCCCAAACACCCCCTTCTTCAACACCATGTCTGCGAACCACTTAAATGTCTCTGTCTGTGCCACCCCTTTAAGCACCCCCCACCATTACCACACCATCTCCTCTCAGCACTGCGCCTGACCCCTAGGGCTGTGCCCCTCCCTCCAATGTCACCACAGCGCCTGATCCCTATTGCTCTTTCAATCTCACCACCTAATCAACCAACACCCAAATCCCCTGCTCTCTCTGCTGCAGTTTATACAATCCCAACACCTTCTGCTCCCACCACCCCACTTGCCAACATCCTAATGTCCTCATACCCAACTCTGCCTGCTGGATCTTCTTGTTTAAACACTAACAGATTGACCTACATTTCTTGTAATGGACGAGTCGCTTTATTAGTACCTATCATTATGATGTCTACCTCCTGTAACACACCGTGCTGGTAGGTAGTACAGCCTAAACAGAACAAAGCAAATAAGTTGCAGTTATATCGGTTGAACTGAGCTCTTTTTGTGCTTCTGCAACTGTGGCCATACACTGAAGATTATAGTGGTTACCATAAAAGTAGTTTAACTTTTTTCTTTGACATTTAAGTAATTGTTTTATGTTGTATTTTAGATATGCTTTGTAGAATTCTTTAATAGTATGATTCTAGGGACCATTTGCGCTAAACCATATCACCCAATCAGAGAGCAGCATGCATCAGTTTAACTGCATTAAACTGCTAAAATCTGGTTTTTAGTTGGTTGCCATGGATTCTAGCACTTCATTCCTCTTTTTATTATGTGTTCATGTGACATGCCTCTTGCCTGTATTAATGAATATTAATCATTGTTTGTATGTATTGTCTTGCAGGCCTCTTCCTGAATGCAAATCTACAAGAGCACTCTGGCTAGATCAGTCACACAACGAATATTCCCTACATCCCAGACACAATGGCAGACGAAGATCTCATCTTTAGGATGGAGGGGCTGGATAATGGCCACATTTTAAAAGATCGCTGCTCTGATTACAAGGGAGAAAGTGATGAGGAGGACAATTACTTCATCTGCCCCATCACTGATGACTATTCATCATCACCCCACGAGGGAAAGAAGAAAAAGTCCCGCTTCTTTGGCAGTCTGACAAAGGAAAATGAGTATGGAACCAGTTCATCACCCAGGAACTCCTTCAGTATCAGGGTATGTAGGAACAGTCTAGTTCCCAGACTTCTTTCTCTATAAATCCTGTTGGGTCTCACAGCATTTTTTCAGTGCTGTATATACAGTATGTATACAGGGAGTTATGCACTGCACTGAGTGCAGAGGATCTGAGTTCTGTGAAGTGTTTAAGTCCTGGTATGCTTGTAAACAGCGGGATTTGCATACATACCTGTACAGCGGCGTCTTAAGCCAGGCTGTCATTGATCTCTTATGCAACTGCACAGTGCACCTATCACTCCCAGGAAGAAAAATATGCCGGAATGTGCACTGTACACGCCGCTTGCAGCCATGTGCAAGAGCCCTTACATATTCGTACATCGGGTTTATGTTCAAAAAGGAACATAAATAGTCCTTTTTTTGGTCACAGAAGTACATTTACTAATGTACTTCTGTGACCCAAACTCAGCATATAGCAGGCTACCGCCCGCCATTTGATGGCATTGCAGAGCTGCACTGCAGCCGTGAAAGATCCTGACAATATTGCCGGGATCCAACCCATTGCCTGATTGACACCTGGCTCTGCCTCTCTAGAGCCAGAGCCAGCTGTCTGCCTCCTCCCCTGTATGTCCCTCCAATGAGTGCTGGAGGAACAGAGAGGGGAGGGGGGAATCCCTGCGGGGAGTGATGACTGAGAGTCAGTGCTCTGCGCAGGGAGCAGACTGTGAGCTGAGCGATCAGCGGTTTGAGATCACTCAGCTCTCAAACTATAGAGCCAGCATGTGACAGCTGCAGTGGCACATCCTATCTCTAAGTATTGGAAGACTCTCTCTATACTTCTATTTTTACGCAACACAACAAAATGCTGGACTCTTGAGAACTTATACAAACAACCAAAGAGCAATAGGTCTTTTTTATAGTATAAAGACACAACACAGAGACACAGACACAGTGAAAAACAGAAAAAAATGTATTTGAAAACAAGATTGCAGAACGATATTTACAAATTAGTACTGCCAAATATTTTACAGCCACTCTAATAAAAAAAGCCCATTATTAACTAGACCACAATAAGACAGAGCATGTTCTACAATGGTACAACATTAGATTGCCACTTGCCCCTTACACATAGGCCACACTTTTTTTTATTCTTCCCGTTGTTGATGTTTGTGCAGCAGAGATAAGCAAGGAATGCAAAATGAACATGCATTCAACCATAATCCCATCCAGATTTTTTCCTGGAGTGTGCAGTGTTTTAAAAGTCCAAAAATCGCCAAACGTACACACAGCTTATTTTACTCCCTCCTGCGGCTGCTGCTGTCCTAACTTATCTGTAGTGCCTGTTCTACCCATGTGAACAATTAGTTCAGAGAAGCTGCAGATATTTTGTGTATACCAGTGCATAAATCCAGTCTTGCATAACAAAACTTAATCCTTACACAAGTGGGGAATCAGAGCCAGTTGTACAGGCTTGCTGCAAGTCAGGTAGAGCCCACCTCATTTCCTGGAGGACATCCGCCATCATCTAGCTGTTTCCTCCCCAGTTTGACTGTTCCTGGCCCGCCCTTTTCTTTCATTAAATTTTTGTTCTTCCAATTATAAAGGGCGTTACCCAGGACTTCTGTTTTTAGGAAGCTATGTGCAACACCCTTCCAGCCCCTCCCACCAGCCATGATCTGCCTGCATTTCATACAGAGGCAGAGAGACCCAGTGATGACATCATAGGGTCTCTCAAAAAAATAATAAGAACGGAAAGGCTTACTTTGAAAATTTCATTAGCATACTGATTGGGGAAGAGTTGGAGAATGGTGCCAGGGAAGGAGAATAAACTTCATCTTTTAGTGTTCGTTCACACCATAGGACAGTGCGTTCCGGTCAGAATCGGACCAGAATGCACTGCCCGCATTGTGGCCGGCTCACTTTTTTGCCAGGCAGGAGGGGGCGTGGCGTGCCATTGAAGTGAATGGCACCTTAGCCACCCCTTCCGGCCACAATGCAATTGCCCGCATGGAATTGCAAGGCACATTGTGCTTGCGGTCCGGTGCGGTCAAAATGCTGCAAGCACTATTTTGACCACACGGGATCGCACATTGTCCCTGTGGTCCGGTGCGGTCAAAATAGTGCTTGCAGCAGGGACAATGTGCGGGCGATCGCATTGCAGCCGGAAGGGGTAGCTACGGCGCCATTCACTTCAATGGCCCACCACACCCCTCCTGCCCGGCAAAAAAGTGAGCCGGCAGCAATGCAGTGCGTTCCGTCCGGAACGTGGCCGGAATGCACTGCATATGGTGTGAACAGGCCCTAAAGGAATGTATATGGAATGCTCTGCTTAAAGTAATACTAAGGCTGGGTTCACACCTGGGCGATTTGCGGTAAAAAAAACTGCTCAACAAACGTGCGTTTCCAAAGGCTTTCCGGCTGTATCCTAATGGATTCACGCGGCAAATACGCCCCAAAGAAGCTCCTGTACTTCTTTGGGCGTAGGCCTTTTTTAAGCGCGTTCCTACGCGCTGTAAAACGCCCAGGTGGGAACCATGCCCATAGGCAATTTTTGGTTTTCACATGTTGTGTTGTCCCAGGTGTGAACCAGGCCTAAAGGCACAGGGAAGAATTTATCAGAACTGGGGCAGCTGTGCATGGCAACCAATCAACTTCTCTCTTCAGTTAAGTTAAGAACAGAGACACTGATTGGTTGTTATTAGGGATGTCCCGATACCGATGCTAGCATCGGAATCGGGCCCGATACAGGGCATTTTGACAAGTACTTGTACTTGTCAAAATGCCCCTAAGCCTAGCGCCGAAGCTTGCGCTATGTCTTTTTTTTTCTTCTTACTAATTTCTAATTATGGTAATTGGTATCGGCAAGTACATGAGGGAATGTACTTGTACTTGGGCCTGAAAAAGTGGCATCGGGACATCCCTAGTTGTTATGATTGCTTGTCATGCACAGCTGCTCCAGTTTTGTTAAATTCCCCTCACAGTGTTCTTACCTTAATGCATTCTCTGCATTAAGATAAAAATGTTCCAGGACCTTTGCATGCCCCCCAACCTCCAAACAATTACCTTTCATCCGTATTCACTGCTTGCCTGAAGTTCCAGGTTATGGAGGAGGGATCCTGAGGGCAGTGATGACAGGGCAGTGAGAGGCTGCTACAGCTGCCTGTCATAATACTGTGAGGAGGGAGAAGGCGGGTACATGGGCAATGCTTTGCCGAGCGAGTTAATGGATGCACACAGCTCAGTTCAATTGACGGTCGGGAGCACGCGTCCATGTGTGTCTCCTTTACAACCTTCTAGGCATAGGAGACACCTTTAAACTTGAGGGGGTGGTCGTGGTCTGAGAGCTGAAAAAAAAAAATTAAATGGGGCAGTTAAAAAGCTTTAGTAACTCCTAATCTCCCATGGTGAATAAAAAAGCAAGGATTTAATATCACTTTAAATGTATTAATCACATCAAGTTATCAACGTACATTTTTTACAATGGTTTGTATTGCTTTTAATGCTGCCTGATTACGTAAGCTTGTTGGCGTAAATATTGTTCTGCATTTCAAAACAAGTGTTGCTTCTAGAGTGACCACGATTTAAAGGATAAATGGTATTTTGAGTTTTTCCTGTGTCATTCTACACCGGTTTTGTTGCTTGACTGCATGAAGTACTAACTGCTTAGCGCATGCTGTCTGGTCATGTGATCTCCTGCAATACAAAGACAATATTGTCTGTTAAAATGAAACTCTGCCCTTCCGTGTTATCAGATAATAAATATCCATGCAAACAAACCGCACAATCAAGAGGAAATCACTTTCATTCTTGTTTAAAGAAGAATGAAGAAGAATGGATGCCAAGGCTCAGTTGTACATGTGGCTCTTCTCACAACAGACTCCATCAGTGCAGATCCCAGTAACGCAAACCAGATGGTTTCTATATATTGCTTTTGGATGTGATATTGAACTTTAAACTGCTTAGAGAGCACGTAGGCTTTTAACTTTGCATTTGTTAGCTCAGTATGTCAGCATTGCAAAAATAAACTTTTAACTATGATCGGATCTGTATCATAGAAAAAAATACATACAGTATATTTTTAGTGTACTGTTTGATTAATATTTATTAACTTAAATGCAGGATTGGACATAGAATACGGAAAACCACTGTGCAAATACAGTGGGCTGCCCTTTATTATGTATTATGGATGCATTTAAAGCTGAACTCCGGGTACAAAATATTTAAATATAATTCTTAATTACCACTAAGGATATAAATCCACTTTGTGTGCAACAGAAACCTTTGGAAACCCAATAATGACCTTTTAGAGGTAGTGATGACATCATTACTATGCTGTACAACAGGCTCCACCCACTACAGGCTGCCAGCAGGAAACTACAAAAGGAGGCGTATACAAGACCGGCTATCCTGCACAAGGAGAGGGAGCGGCAGTGACTGGAGTTTATTACAGGAAGCTCCTGTACAGAGGCAAAGTTTTGCTGGATTACAGCACAGATATGGAAGAAATACACAAAGCACACCTAGATTTAAATAGGAATATACATGGCTCTTTCATTTAAACAGTATTTATTTATCCTGGAGTTCAGCTTGAATTAATATTCGACCAGGTACCCTCTCACCCACTGCTGCTCTTAATATGTATATTATGTATTATATATGTATTTAATGTATGTATGCAGGTTCCCTCTTACACTGGGTTATGCCTATTATGCATGAATTTATCCCATGTATATGATACATCCCCTCTTGCCATATCCCCTTTCTCTCTCCATATGCTTTGCAGTAAATGAAGGTTAACTACTATGCAGGTTTCCAGTATTTTCAGTGGGGATGCACTGATATTTTTCAGATACCAGTGCCGATACTTGGCATTTTCATGAGAACTACCTGGGTTGCAGCGGTTGCAGCTGGGACCTGGCTCTGGTGCTCCACCTCTGTCCCGAAATCATTAGTCTGTATTGTTTTAGAAAAACTGTCACATGACAATAAACAAAAATGTATCAGTACTTGTAAGTACTTGGGCAAGTATCAGTACTTGTACT